AAATACTGTTCTTTTTAGCAGCATCATATGACCCCTTTAAGACCTGAAGTGGGTCAGAAAAGGTAAAGAGAGTTCAGAGAAAATCGTGTCAGATCCGCGTCAAGTTCAGCAGCGGCAGCTCTTAAAGAATTAACAGCCAAAATAACCAGCTGCTGTGATGTCTATTAATCAAAGGACAAAGAAAAAAAGAGGGAAAAATAACTTTTATAGCTTTAAGGATTCATCTATATTTATGTTTGATAACGTCAATTTCTGTATATTTCTGCTGAAGGGCACAGGTAAATATGACATTTATTATAATGGGTTTATGTGAAGATTGTTTTAAGTTCACTTAAATTAGAAGTTATTTTTTTTAAGTCTAATAAATGTTAAAATTGATAGCTATCAATTATACTGTAATATTGAATGGCTATAGTCAATGGTTAAATATTAGGGGTTAAATATTATCGCACATTTTTTTTCAGAAAAAATGGGGGGGGGGTATCATTGATACTGGCCTTCAGTCATAAAAAAAGATGCCATTAAACAAATATTTAAAAATATACTGTCTTTATGTTGTTTGTACATTAATTTGAAGATTGAATGTGAAATTATTGCAATATAAAAGTATATTTAAAAACTTTAAAGTTAGGTGGGATTAATCGCGATTAATTTCAGAAAAATGTGCGATTAATTAGTTAATTTTTTTTAATCGATTGACAGCACTAGTAAAAAGTTACCATGGTGACACATACTTGTTGAAAACAGTCACACCTTGTGGCCCCTTATCTTCACCCACTCCTCCTACATTCAGTCCTGTGTGTGTCATAGTCTGGGGTCCAGTGGAAATGTTAACACGTCTCTAACGAGTTGCAGACACCTTAGTCATCACACAAATACATGGGTACACAGACCTATATATGTCTTTTGTGTGTTCGTAGTGTGTGTTCTAGCAAAGACACATCAGTCAGTCTCCGGCAGCTGAACACAGATCGCAGCAGATAGTGTCATGTGTCATGACACACTCAAAGTCTCGCAGCAATGATCATGACTGATAACACGTATCTACTGTTCAACATGAAGCCAGAAGGCAGCATCACACAGGCAGGCTGTACAAACACACACAAACACTGATATTTAACATCACGCCACACTCTGATCAATTTTGACAATAGAGTGCAGCTAGGATGATGTGTTTTTGTAGGCCAAAACCCAAAAATGTTAGCATTTTAGCACTTCTATTTCCATCAATGGGTATAGGTTTTTCTGAATGGGTGTTTTGGTTAAAATAACGGATTTGCCCAAAATAAAGGTTTTTGGTTAACACAAGCTCAAGATATTTTCATGTTTTATTGTACAACAAAACATACATGAGTAATACCCCCTTATGAATCTTTTACTTATCTTGAAAAAGGCGGTTGCTAACAAATGGCTAAAAGGCACTACAGAGGTTGTTATGGACATTATACGTCATCACACCAAACAGGTAAATTCATCTACTCACTAGACTGCTTTCATAGCCACATTGTGTTAATCGCACTCTTACAAATTATTCAAAAATATTTTTAAACAAAAACTGAAAGAGTTATTTGAGGCATAACGGGGGGTGACGCTGAAATCATGTGACCGTGGTTTTGTTAATTAATTGCCTATGTTTAGCTTTTTACGTAGGCATTTACGCGTCATCACTGCAACACTCTATAGACAAGATATATGTTAGGTAAAAAGCACAATGGTGTTTTGTCCACCAGAAATAATCCGACCACACGGACCCACTTTATTTTACATGTCTTAACTTCTATACTACTAACATAACATTTAAATTAATAATTTGATACAATGCACTTATTTGTGAATATACATGCTTATATTTAAAAACACATGAATGTAATTATATCTGTAATTAATTTCTGTGATTGCACTGTTTATCCTACCACTACCTCTTAACCCACCCTTAAACCTAACCACACCACACCACAAAACCTGTCGCCAACCTTAACTGCATCCCACCTCAATAGTGGCAAAAGTGTTGTGCAATACAAAATAAACAGAGTAAGTACATTGTACCTAACAATTAATTTTTGTGATGAAAAGTGGGACCAATCACAATGGCAAAACTGGTTAGTATGTCAACTGGTGAAAAACACAGACCCTTTTAACTAAACCAGTAATGCTTCTCTCTCAAGAGGCTGAAATCCAAATACCAGGCATGCATGATAAAACGCCACAGCTGGCAACTCTCTCTCTCACACACAGACACACTCACAGGCATACAAACACACACCCAACAACTGAGATTCAACGGTCATACTATTATACAAACTTCATAATCTAAAATAAATATTTAATAGACCACTTAATCAAAACCAACTACTTCAATGCA